GAAGATGATCCAAGAATCACCTACTATGTTTTTGTTTTCTAACAGAGCCTAGTAGTTTCCTGCCTTTAGTGAGCACCTCACAATTCTTCATATTCATTGCAACATGTTTAAACTACTAAAACATTGCTGGAGGCACACCGGTGTGGAGCCTAGTTAACTTCCTGTCTTAGGCTATGTTTTCTAGAGAAGAAAAACCAGGGAAACATATATATACATATATACATAAATAGAAGTTCATTATCAAGGATATGATTTACAAGTTGCAGAGTCCCAGGTTCCCAGTGGAAGAGTGAGAGAGTCCCTCCCACATGTCTGTTATATTGGGGGCAGGCCACACACTCAAGGAAGCATCCCTTCAATTGATTGGCTACTCATTACCACTTATCATAGAGTGAACTATGCCTGTATTAGGTTTCATCACCATGAGAACAAGCACATCCTAACTGCTAAAGCTCTGGGAATCCTGGTCTAGTTGAGTTGACACAGAACCCTAACTATTACAGTCAACCCTTGTCAACTCAAAACCTATAAACTATACATATAATCTCTAAATAAAGAAAATTATTAAGTTATACTTGTGTCTAACATGCTATAACTAAGACACCTACAACCGGCACATTTTCATCTTGTTTTGTTGTTTTTAGGTGCCATCAAGTTGGTACCGACTCATAGTGACCCTATGCACAACAGAATGAAACACTGCCCAGTCCTAGGTCAACCTCACAATCATTGCTACACGTGACCCCATTGATGCTGCCACTTTGCCAATCCATCTCCCTGGGGGATCTTCCACAAATCAATGAAGCAAAATTTTTTGATGAACACAAGCAAAGCAAAAACTAAACAAAATATATATATATTGATCCAAAAGTCCAGAGGGCACAATCTGCAAGCCAGCCTTGTGTCAGCCTAACTCAATCCACGAATCTAGTCCCGTAGCTGCTCTATCTTTCCATGACATCACCTCTGTTGCCATCTCTGCTGGCACCGCTTGTCCAGGCAGGGGTTCCAAGATCTATTCATGCACTTCCTTAATGATGATCCTGGGACCATCTGTCCCTGAAATGAAAGATAACTACTCCCTCCTTTAAATAAATAAATAAATAAATAAATAAATAAATAAATAAATAAATAAATAAATAAATAAAAATTATTGTGAATTATGTGACAGTTTACATGGGAGAACATCAGTTTTACATTCATCCTATTGTATATTGTTTCATTGCCATGGTTACAATACCCTCCATGCATCACCAATCAATGAAAGGGTACATCCTATAAGCTTGCTCTCCCCACCCCCCACCCCCGCAGTCGTCAGTACATAGCTCCTCTCCCTCCCTGGGTCCTGAGTCCCCAGCTGCTTCATCTCTCCAAGTCATCATCTCTGCCTCTATCTCCGGGATTGCTGCCTCTCTGGGTAGGATTCAGCTCTCCGCTCTTCTCCCTTCATGGTTCCAGTGACCTCTGCTCCTAGCCTGCATAGTTAATCATCCCCCTCCTTGCCACAAAATGTCTACTTTTACATTTACAACCTTCACAATCAGTCCTGGTAACAATTATTCACCCTTTTATCACAAGAGACCTATCCATATTTCCTTTAATCAGTCCTGCCTAGATAGATTGGACACTACTCAGTGGAGATTCTACCTTCCTTCACGCCCTCTGGATCTAGGTTCCCTCTTGAAAGCTTGTAAGCCAGTCACTTCTTGCCTTTGTAGCCCCATCATTTTGGATAGCCAATGTCCAAGCTGCCCATCCTTGTCTACTCTGTCTGTGTATGAAGGGGGTGGGAATGATCCTTGCTGTAAAGATTTGTTCCCTCTTTTGAGTTGCTGCATCCATAGGTGTAGGCCAAGTTCATCAAATTGTATCAGATTACTCTTTTTTCCCTCTTCTTTCTTCTTCTAGTTGCGCTCTGATCATCCAGTCAATGAGACTAGGTCAAATGGGTATCATCTGCAAGTGTGGGTGCTCTTGTGGCCATGCCTTCTCTTCTTATCCATTGGACACTTCACTCTCCACTCCAGTTCTCCATGGCTATATCACTGACTCTGGGCCCAAGAGTCCCCAGGTCTTGCCACACTGCTGGCTAGCCAGGTCTCCACCTGGGTTCGCAGGAGTCTATTGAACGTTGTAGGGCTTAGCTCGCAGCCTTATAGCTGTTTTTTACTCCCTCCTTTTAGTTACACATTTAGTTAAGCTTGTGTAACATCTTCTACAATTACAGTTTTGTCAATCACAATCTTACTAACAATTACTCACAATTGAAATGATAAAATCCTATCAGCATCATTCCCAGACCCCCCTTTACCAGACCCATCCAGAAAAGAGGAAAACTAGTCAGTGGGGATTCTACTTTGTCCCCTCATTCTACAACTAAGCACACCCATGAAGGTTTGTAAGTCAGACACTAACTGCCTTTATAGCCCCCGGCCCCATTTTTGATAGCCAATGTCTAAATTGTCTCTGGTAGTGTAGTGGTTACAAATCAAGCTGTTAACCTCATGGTCAGCAGTTTGAAACTACCAGCTGTTCCACAGGAGAAAGAGGAGGCTTTGTGATTCCATAAAGATTTACAACCTCAGTGACTCTATGCAGGGTCACTGTGAGTTGGAACCGACTCCACAGCACACTACCACCACCACCATCAACACGAGGAGACAAGCGTGTTCCTTTATATGAAGAATCTGCCATTCCAGTTCGAATTTTGACCAACTGCAAACATAGGCAAAAGTCCAGTCCAACAAATTGTAGTAATTGATGCTTGTTCACAGTATCAAATATTTTTATCTTGAACTGATCAAGTTCTGGTCAGCTCAACCCTAGCTATCCAAGCTAGGTCACATGGGTACTAACTACACATGTACGAGTTCACACAGAGACATCTTCTGTGTACTTCAAACCAGCTGGCATCCTCACTCTCAGCCCTAATCCCCATGGGCTAGGTTAGTACCCATGGGCTAGGTCAGTGCCCATGAGCTCAAGAGTTCATACAGTTCCCTAAGCTTCCGACCAGTCAGTGATTCTGCTCCTTTTATCTCCTTGTCAAAGAATGCCAATAGATCATGTCCACACTCAGCCCATGTCTTCATTGCTCCATTTTTGCCAATTCCACTCACATGTAGATATAGGTGGTCACCAGTAAGCATACAGCTCACCAGTTCCTTTTAACGATCAGTCCTGGAAGGGAGTTTTCTCCTCTGGGCTGTCTTTCCTTGCCTTGATGCCTCCTAAACTCAAAATGCCAAACTGTAAGCTTACTTTCTCTGCTTAAATTTCTACTTCTTCCAGCAGTTCTGGGTTGATCTGCAAGTTTTTTCAAATGCAAATGTCCTAACTCCAAAGGTTCTGGATTCTGGGGCTCTGTATTCCACATAAAGCTCCACATTCTACAAAGGCTTAAAGCAAAAAAACAAACAAAATCTGTTTCTCCTGGGCAAATTCTAACTCCCCTTTTAGCAAATCCAATCAAGTGTAGGCTGAAGGTAGGCTTACAAGTTTTCTGTAATCATAATTCACAATATTTGTATCACACATGCATGTCTATTTAACAATAACAGATATGAGAAACCAATATCCAAAAGGCAGTCAAACATATAAACCTTTAACACATTCAAGGTCAATCTTTTTCTATACCTTGGACTAATCCCATTCATATGCATATGGTCTTGGGCCTCTGGCAGGGTGGATTCTAGAAGGCCTGGGCCTGCCATCAGCTCTGTTTAATCAGTATGATTCCAAGCAACTCCAGAAGCTGCAGCTCTCCCCTTCTGCTGAACTATTTTGTCCTATATACCCTTTTATGGGGTCCTGCTGTGGCGCTGTAGGTTAATGCGCCAGACTGCAAAGCCGTTTGAACTGCAAGGTCAGTGGTTCGATCAAGCTCACCAGCTGCTCCTTGGAAACCCTATACAGGGTCGCTATGGGTCGGAACCGACTCAACCACTAACAGCAAATACTCCTTTATAATGTCTCTTACAGAACCTCATAACTTCATAGGTCTGGAGCCATTGCAATGAATCCTGCTAACTAACAGTGCCAACTGCTTAAACCAAGTGGGGACCATGTTTGACTCCCTCTGACTTTACAAGTGAGAAAGAGGACCAAACTCAAAATCAGCTCAAGGCTAATGCTTATGAAGTGGAGATTAGACATGCCTCCACCCTATGTCAGTGCCTTTAAAATTAGTCAGAATCGAGAAACAATTTAGTTAACTCATCTCTATGATTTTGTATCTCTAGAACCCCACTCTCTTGGTACCATGTGACTTAGACAGGGTTTTCTAGAGAAGTAAAACCAATGATT